AAAGCGTTTGACAAGCTCTACCGAATTGCCTATCACTTCTGCGTAAGCTCCGTAGACGTAGGCGCGTTGATTCCGACAGCCGCGAAAAGTTAAACATGCATCAATACCACATAAGGAAAGACCGATTTTACGTATGGTTTAGTTCATAGATCAACATTGACTGCTGTTTAAAAATGTAAGTACTTGAACACTAAGAAATAAGTTAATTCAAATGCTTTAACCGCATATATAAGAGATTTCGCGCATTGAGAGAATAATATAGTAATCGAGTACCTCCAAAAGTTTAAAAGTTATTAATTGTCACATACCTCTACTCTTCTTATTTCCAAAACTATTCCTCTCCTTTTTAATCTGCTTAATGCTGCCTGCGTTTTCTTTTTAAAGTTCAAGACTAAATAAGAAGATTTATTCTACAACTTTAAAGGTTAGTTGCCTCCCTTAGCGGACCCCCCGCATCCTAATTATTTTGGTAATCTACTTAATGTCATTAGACTTTCTGAAGTTTCTTATTTAAGTTCATTTGATGATTATGACATCTCTTCAGTCTAATTTAATAAATTATTAAATGCTCTAATTCACCTAATCAATCATAACCCATGCTTTATTAAGTATCTGCACTTGTGCTTGTAATCTAAAATTAAACGTGTTTCAAGTATTTTTGATTTAAGCTAATGCCTATTTATTATATCTTAGTTCGACCCAGGTAACACCGTCATGTGACTAAAATGCTTCATTTTGAAGTAAGTTTCCTAGCTGATTTTAAATTATACAGGGTATATGCTCCAACTATGCTCACACGCTTCCACTATGTCGCACCATAAAAATACGTATGGGTATGTCACAATAGAAGCACGCCACAATGGAAATCCTGAGCCATAGTTCAAACACTTATCCCAAATCAAAATGAAGCACATATAAGATTAGTTACGATACCATGTACAAAAATGATGTTTAACATTGTTTCCTGAGTAATACTTCAATGAAAACAACAATGAAAGCTTGTCACGCAAATAGAAGGAGCACCGTTGGGCACTTTCTGAAATATTTCAATAGTATAATTCCCTTGCCCAAATAAATCTATCTGCGTAAAAATAAATAAAAATAAGAGTGATTTCGGCAAAACCCGCCAGTATCACACCCAACGTCAGTGCCTATACGTAAGCGTACTACGACGCGGCTCTCAATTAAAGGAGTAACAAGTGTGATACTATCACTGCTAGACTTGATCTTTGGTTCTCTCATGCTGTAGTGGATTATCAGAGAGGAGAAGCTTAGTAATCCCCATTGCCTGCCCATGACGCCATTCTATCGTGGCATGAGCCAGCAAAGCCGACCATAAACCTACCGTCTCCAACACTCCACTATAAAGCATCAAATTAAGCCCGCCCACCAACAGCAAGGTGCAAAAACTAGCCAAGGGGAGGGTTATCGTATACTGGCATTTTGGACTTAAAAATGGCGTCAGACATCGATATCCGGTCTCTATACGTCATCCATATTCTGAAAATATCCATATTTAAGGGTATTTGACAGAATTTGGATTTCAAAATGGCATCGGACATAAATTTTCGGTATCCAGACGGCAACCCGATTTTGAAAATACCTGTACTGAAGGGTATTTGACAGTATTTCTCACAATTTCTGAAACCGGGAAGTCACCACCTTGGATTTCATAATTGCGTCGGATATCGATGTCCGGTCTCTAGACGTCATCCCTACTTCTCGCTGCACAACTTTACCAAAATATCTCGTCATCTCTCGAACTACCGGTTCAATGGCTTTGAAATGATGATAATCTTTCTCAATCAATTCAAGTGTATTGCACTTTGAATCACACTACTCTTCAAAACAGATGGATTTTAGGTGTTTTGCATTTAAATGCGATGTGAAATGCTTGTTTTGCAAGGTAAACATTGAAAACATAAGTTGTGACTTCATACTTATCAACCAGCCTCATATATGTGAACAACCGTGGGCCAGTGAGATCGAACGAAGACAACTGCAGCAGCACCTCCACCCCCAATAGTCCAGGGTCAATTCCCAAATCAGACCCATTGAAAAAAAGGCATTTGTATGCTCTGCCCTCTGGCAGCTTTGTTTATATATTTGTCGATTTAATTTTTGGGCCGGTTAAGTAGAAGTCGATAAGGACGCATTTCGCGCCAAATCGAATTGAAGCTGGCAGCACCCAATCAGATTTCAATGAAATTTTCTGGATGCGTAGACTTTGACTAAATAAGCAATTTTGCATACTCAGTTTTTCCAAAATTCAAATTTCTTTTTGAATCCGAAAGGAAATGAAGAATCTGGAGTAATCTACGAAACTTAATTTTATTCAACAGAATTATACAAAGTGATCTTACGGCTACGTGTTAGCAACTTAAAATTATGTAAAACTTTTACATGAATTGTCCAGGGTTTAACATATCCCTTTCAATACCGAACTTTAACCTAATTTGCCTATTCTAATTAGCTAGGATTCCGATCGCCCTTGAAAGGGTAAATTTGTGTTGTTTAGACCTTATATACTATGCCCTCTCTGTTACGTGCAAGCCCCTCGTATGCAAGTGAGCCACTGGGATAACCAACGTCTCGCAGATGACCGCGGTGACGTTAAGATGACAGCCATGTCATGTCATGAAGATGTAGCGATGACAGACTAAAAGTTTACATTTCGTACAGAGTGAATGATATTCCACGATTAGTTCTTCGTAAGATTTTCTATATTTATACCTTACTTAAAATTAACTTAATTATTGGAATTACATTATTTATACCTAAGTCTACTTATAAAAATAATATTTGTTCGCTTAAACCTAAGCGGAGACTAAAATGTAAGTGGATTTAAATTACAACTATTGTTCTTAAAACTAACCTAATAACAAATACAGCTTAAGAAACAACTACTACAAACACAAAAAAAGACTTTTGCTACAAGACTCCGAACTAAAGCGAACAAAAACTCAAAATTTTATCTTGAAATGACCCGAAGAACGCGTGCCCAAACGAAAGCCAAACAAATGGCAGCAGCTGCGGCTAACCAGCAGAGCCATGGCGTCGTTCAGGGTAATTCTACCATTCCGGCATCTAACAATGCACGAGAGGCCAAACGTTATAGGGTGCATTGCAAAAAGTGTACCAAATGGTATCACCTCACTTGTGCTGAAATGAGCAGCGAGACAATGCTCACAGGTTTGTTTACGTGTGTTACATGCATCGCACGTAATCCTGCACCACCACCGACCTCTGTCACTGGACGATAGAGTACTTCGAGTATACGGAGAGCTAGATTGGCTCGTGGGTTGGAATTGCTGGAGGAAGAGAAAAGGATGCAGGAAGAAGCTCAACGGGAACAGCTAGAACGAGATAGGCTGATTAACGAAAGGGCTGCAAAAGAGATGATCGAACGGGATAGGCACTATCTTGCCAAAAAGCACGATTTGCTCATCCAGCACGAGGAGGAAGACGAAATAGCGAGTCTTAGGAGTTATCGTTCGAACCGATCATCGCCGAAACGAGTGGAAGATTGGGTCATCAAGCAGGTGAAATCAACCAGCCATACTGGTACGGGCGTCGTTATAGAGACGTCCAAGCCAGTCGAACCAAATGCCCATACGCCATTAAATTCGGTCGAACCTCCACTCCTATCCAATGCGAAATGCTAGGATCTTTCCCTGTGGAGAACGAGCCTGTTAACTTCAACGATATTGACCTTACAACCAACAGTATCACGATCGGTGAAAACGAGCTTGACGGAGCTGTTGGAGGAGATGTAATTTCGTTGGTGGACCTTCATTCGTTGCAGATCATCCTGAACGAGCCAAAACCTTCGTGTCGAAGAAGCGGTTCAACTAGCAAACGAAGTGGCAGCGATTCATGGGAAGGCTGATTTCTTTATCCGGAACTGGACATCAAACAGCGTGGAAGTCCTCGAGCGCATCGGAGAAGCCAATCCTGCTGCGGTTAAGCGATTTGCGGTGGGTAAAGATTGTAGGTTTGAGCGGTTGCTAGGGATGATTTGGTCTCCAGAAGAAGATGTATTCTCCTTTGGTCTGCACTTTCGTGAGGAACTACGGCAGCTCATAGACGGTGAAGTTAGTTCGACAAAACGGGAGCTACTGAGCGTAGTGATGAGTCTCTACGATCCCCTCGGTTTGATTGCAGCTTTCATCTGATATATTCTGCCGCTGGAATCAGTGGTTGATAGCTCTACGAGAGATGACTAAGGATACATGCCAGCCAACTACGAGTCGCTCCAACTCCACATCTTCGTCGATGCGAGCGATAAGGCCTTTGCTGCGGTCGCATACTTCCGAATCGTCGACAGGGGAGAAGTTCGATGTACCCTTGTCTCATCGAAGACCGAAGTGGCACCCCTGCAAACACTTTCGATGCCGCGAGAGCTAATGGCGGCCTTAATAGGAGCTCGTCTGAGACAAGCCATCATAGATAATCATTCCGCGAAGATAACTCGCACCTTTTTCTGGAGCGATTCTACAACAGTAATTGCTTGAATAAAGTCGGATTCACGTCGCTACCGCCAATTTGTCGCCTTTAGAGTCAACGAAATTCTCAGTTCGTCTACGGTGGATGAATGGAACTGGATAGGAACGAAAACCAACGTAGCTGACGAAGCAACAAAGTGGGGAAAAGGGCCATCAACCAAAATCGAAAGCCGGTGGTATCGCGGACCTGCATTCCTGTACGACCAAGCCGGGGAGTGGTTAGAAGAAAACGTGGAAGATACAAACGAAGAACTTCGACCAGCTTTCGTCTGTCCGCATTTCATCGTCAAGCCAACAGTTGAATTTGAACGGTTCTTAAAGTTCGAGCGTTTGAAGCGATGCATTGCGTATGTCCTGGACAACCTACGTCGAGCGTCCACGGGTAGTGTTCGAGTTACAGCGAAAGAATTAAGCCGAGAGGAATTGCAAAAGGCGGAGTGCACTTTGTGGATACTGGTACAGTCGGACGCATATCATGCGTCCGAGGTGGCAACGATGAAAAGTAACAGAGAACCCGAGAACGAAGTAAAGCAACTGGACCGTTCGAGTAAAATTGCGAAGCTGTCGCCGATGATGGATGAGCACGGAATCCTTCGAGTAGATAGTCGGATCGGCGATGCAAGATACCCGATCATCCTACCACATGATCATCGTGTGGCGATGCTACTGCTGGATTGGTATCATGGTGACTTTCGTCATGCCAACGATGAAACAGTGGTGAACGAAATTCGCCAAAGATTTTGCATACCTCAGTTGAGGACACGCGTACGCCTGACGAAGACTCGATGCATGTGGTGTCGAGTGTACAAGTCCGTTCCAGTGGCACCGAAGATGGGACCGCTACCAATGGTAAGATTAACGCCGCATGTACGTGCCTTCACTTTCATCGGGGTCGATTATTTCGGGCCGTACTTGGTAAAAATTGGTCGGATCGTAGCTAAACGTTGGGGTGTGGTATTCACGTGCTTAACACATCGAGGTAGCAAGCAGCCTGTCATCCGATTCGTGCAAAAAAGCAATGCGCAGGTTCATTGCGCGACGTGGAGCTCCTCAAGAGATCTACTACGACAACGGTACCAATTTTGTCGGGGTCAGCCGGGAGCTGAAAAGGGAAATCGAGGGAATCAATGCAAAGTTAAGCAGTACCTTCACGGACACCTATACGCAGTGGAGGTTCAACCCACCCTCAGCACCACACATGGGAGGCTGCTGGGAACGGATGGTTCGGTCCATCAAGTCGGCTTTGGTCATGGTTCCCACGGAACGTAAGCTGGATGACGAATCGCTGGTGACAGTCTTTGCAGAAGCGGAAAAAATGATCAACTCTCGGCCTTTGACCTTCGTTTCGCTGCAGACGTCAGACCAGGAAGCGATAACCCCAAATCACTTCCTGCTGTTAAGTTCAACTGGAGTACAACAACCGATAAAGCAGCCTGTAAGCGAAGGAGAGTCATTGCGGAGCAGTTGGGACATGATGCAGCCCACGTTGGACAGGATCTGGCAAAAGTGGATCACCGATTATCTGCCGACGATAACAAGGAGGACCAAGTGGTTCCAAAATGTGCGATCAGTCAAAGAGGGTGAGTTGGTAGTCATAGCGGATGAGAAGGTCAGGAATAGGTGGTTGAGAGGTCGGGTAGTGCGTACGTTTCCTGGAAAGGATGGGACCGTGCGACAAGTTGTTGTGACTTCAGGTGGTACACTACGGAGACCAGTCATCAAGCTTGCACTACTAGATTTGGAACCCGAAGATGACGCCAAAGCAGAAACTGGGGCGACATGAGGGGGAGGATGCTACGTGCAAGCCCCTCGTATGCAAGTGAGCCACTGGGATAACCAACGTGCAAGCCCCTCGTATGCAAGTGAGCCACTGGGATAACCAACGTCTCGCAGATGACCGCGGTGACGTTAAGATGACAGCCATGTCATGTCATGAAGATGTAGCGATGACAGACTAAAAGTTTACATTTCGTACAGAGTGAATGATATTCCACGATTAGTTCTTCGTAAGATTTTCTATATTTATACCTTACTTAAAATTAACTTAATTATTGGAATTACATTATTTATACCTAAGTCTACTTATAAAAATAATATTTGTTCGCTTAAAACTAAGCGGAGACTAAAATGTAAGTGGATTTAAATTACTACTATTGTTCTTAAAACTAACCTTATAAAAATTGCAGCTGGAGCAACAACTACTACAAACACAAAAAAAAGAGTTTTGCTACAAGACTCCGAACTAAAGCGAACACTCTCAGATCTGGGATTTCTCAGATATCTTGTAAGTTTATTTATTTTTTTAACTCAGATCTGATATGACTGTACAAATAAGAATGTGACATTTGTAAAGTTTAAACATTGTAATTATATCCTTCGTTAAGGATAAACAGAGAGGGAAAGCTAAACTTAACCTAGATGCGCAAGAATGCCATGCGTGGGCGTGTTTATCCCACTTGAACGCAGAAATGTTCTTACGAAAATACTGCAGTTAGGTTATGTAAAATGAGCTCTCGCTCCTTTTGCTCTACTTTTCATTTCATATTCTTGGCCTTGGTATCAACGTCAGCCAGGGCTATGCAAACGAGTTGCAACTATGTGGTTATCTTATGGTTTTGGTTTTAAATTAATTGCCTCGCGGTAACAGTAGGAGTTGTCATTTTTCCATAATATTTTTTTGAAAAATTCGGCAAAAAAACTAAGTATATGCAAAGTGGCTTATTTTGTCAAGGTCCACACATCCAGAAAGTTTCATTGAAATCGGAGAGGTTGCTCCTAGCTCCAAATACGATTTGGTGCGTAATGCGTCTATACGGTCTATGCAAACAAAGCTCTTAAGCTCCCGGTACATTAAGTACTGCTAGAAAATCTGGGATTTCTGGAACTCCTCTAAATTCTTTGGAATTTAATCTTTCAAACATGCAATACTTCCATAGTATCTTTAGAACTTTTAGAAATTTTTAATCTACAGTCAATTTTAAAATAGATGAGGACTCTGAATCTAGCTTTCAAAAATACCAATATTTGTTCAAATGCAGGAGCTTCTTGATGGTCAGCATTAGTTGTAAATCCAAAAAAATCTGATCAGACCTAATGACATTTTATTATTTGTAAAAATATCTTGTTACCACTTTTGATTCTGGAATATTTGGCACTCCTGTGACTTTGAAGATTAAAAGAACAAATGGAACTTCCGTAACTCAAAAAACTGCTTGAACCCTTGGGAACTACAACAAATTATGATACTTTAAACTGTTCAAATCTAAAGCAAAAGTCTACAGTATCATCCAACATTTACCTTGAGTCAAATTGGTCAAATTGAGTGCCGTAGACCACATTGGCTAGACCCGAACATGTTTCGGAAACCTCGCCCCAGTGTTGACTTGTTGTTTTCCAACCCTTATCCTCTTCCGGTTACTCCTCGCTAGCATTTTCCATCAAAACCAAAATAATTTCACTGGCAATGACGTAAAATCCTACCCAATATGACTGGAAGCCATAAAGCTTACGAGAAAGAAAGAAAGAAACATCTGCTTGCTCCACACACCGCCCACAATCATCCACCAATGCCAAGTAATTTTCGCGTTTTAATCTTATTCTTCCATCTGTTTAAGCAGAAAGTATTCTTAAGCTTCACCCCACGGTTCCGCCCGGCCTGGTAGCCACCTCCACATATCAAGCAGACAAGCACAAATGAAATCCTGTTTTTAAGCTTTGAATTATACACTATTATTCTACTCGGTGGGCGGATATGGCGCCGGTGAAATAGGAACCCGCACGCACGCGAAATACAAAGTCACGTCGGTCGGGTGGATGGCACTGCCGAGTTTACGGTATTTGAACGTAAATAGAATTAGTCATGTTTATGACGCTCATTCAACAACAAATGCTTGCTTCTACTGCTGGTTGGTTGGGTGCTGCTGTGGATGGATTTAACGGAAAGCATACAGAACGAACCAATTTTGATTCTGAGACGTTTCGATTTTTTCTAAAAACATTGGAAAATGATATCAAAAACCTAAGAAAATCAGTTTCATCCTTACACACTATTTTTTTTTTGCTGGAATCCAGCAACATTTTGCTGGATTTTGTTTTATATTAATTTATTTGAACAGGCTCAATTGAATAAATTTTACAGAGCCGAGTTATCATTTCCATTAAATGTACATGATTAATGTCTTAAATCTAGAGTTAAAGGAATTGAACCGATTACTCGTGGTCGTCTCGAGGTTAGTGGAGAATTACAATTTTTTGGATGGGGAAAGGGAGAAGGAGGTTTGAAATATGATTTATTATACAAATATTTAATTAATCCTAAAACATGAACTTAATTCTATTCATCTTGAAAACAAACATTAAAAAAAAACTACACGCACAATACACAAACTAAACACAATGTTAATCAAACTAACAATCTAAGGTTAGTATTCTTAAAGTAAACATATATGAGTTTCATAAACTTCAGATCACGTCTAGCCAAAATATCCCGAACTGGAACATTAGGTTGTCTACCTCGAGCCCGAAGGGAATAGCACAGCTCAGATCTGACTCCACGATACTCCGCACAAGACCAAAGGATGTGATCGGCGTCTTGGTAACCTTGTCCACATTCACAGAGATTGCTGTCTCCCAGCCCAACACGAAACAAGTAAGCGTTTAACGAATAGTGATTGGACATGAGGCGAGACATCAGACGAATGAAGTCTCAACCCACATCCAACCCCTTGAACCAAGGGGTCTTCGACACCTTAGGGATGAATAGCCATCGTCCCAAACTCCCTTCACTCCATTTATTTTGCCAGCTGGCGAGTGACTGTTGACGATAAATGAAGAAAAATTCATTGTAGGCGATTTGTCGATCGTAAATATCGCCTTCCATAGCGCCCACCTTTGCAAGCGAGTCCGCCTTCTCATTGCCCGGAATCGAGCATTGAGATGGGACCCACGCAAAAGTGATGACAAAAGATTTTAAAGATAAAGCACTCAGAAGCTCTCGTATTTTCATGAGAAAATACGAGGAGTGATTTACCGGCCTCATGGATCGAATAGCCTCGACAGAACTGAGACTATCCGTAAAAATAAAATAGTGATCTGGTGCGAGTGAGGCGATCGTTTCTAGCGTATAGTGTATTGCCGCCAGTTCAGCAACATATACGGAACAAGGAGCTTGAAGCATTCGAGAGGCGCTATGAAATTCGTTAAAAATACCAAAACCAGCGGACGACTCTATTAGTGTCTTGGCCAAACTTTGCAGCGTAAATTGACGGAACAATCATGGAACGATGATGTTCTGGGATTCCACGAATCTCCCGCGTCATAGATAAATCAAAACTAACTGAATTGCCGAAGTCGGAGAAGCATACACGATGGGGATTATGCTGTGAAGGGCTGACATCCTGAGTTATGTACACGTAGTACAATGACATACAACGAGTTTGAGGGTTTAGCTCAAGAAGCTTCTCAAAGTTTTCGATTACCAGTGGGTTCATAACTTCACAACGGGTGAGGAGCCTGAGGGACAATTCCGAAAACCGATCCGATAGTAGCAACATGCCCGCCAACACTTCGAGACTCATCGTATGAGTCGAGTGCATGCATCCTAACGCGATACGAAGACAACGATACTGTATACGTTCCAGTTTGATGATGTGAGTTTAAGCCGCTGACTGGAAGCAAAAACTACCGTACTCTAAAACCGATAAAATCGTTGTCCGGTACAACGTTAGAAGATCTTGCGGATGAGCTCCCCACCACGTTCCGGTAATTGTTCGGAGAAAATTGATCCTTTGTTGGCATTTTCGTCTCAGATACTCAATGTGGGATCTCCAGGTGCATTTGGAATCGAACCAGACCCTAAGATATTTGAAAGACATGGAATGAGTGATTGGCTTACCCAAAAGTTGAAGCTTCGGTTGTGCTGGGCTATGCTTCCTAGAAAAAACGACCAACTCAGTTTTCTCCGTGGAGAATTCGATACCTAGCTGGATAGCCCAAGTAGACAAATTGTCTAAGGTATCCTGTAAGGGTCCTTGCAGGTCGGCCTCTCTGGGTCCTGTCATAGACACTACGCCATCATCTGCAAGTTGTCTCAACGTGCAGTTGTCACTTAGACAATTGTCAATTTCTCTAACATAGAAATTGTACAAAAGGGGGCTTAAACATGAGCCCTGGGGGAGACCCATGTAACTAAATCGAGAAGCTGTAGAGTTTCCATGAGAAAAGCTCATATGTTTCTCTGACAGCAAATTGTACAAGCATGGAGTTTGTCTAAAAGGACTTCAACCGATACTGAATCAAAAGCCCCCTTAATATCCAAGAACACAGAAGCCATTTGCTCTTTTTTAGCAAAAACCAACTGGATTTCCGAGGAAAGCAACGCAAGACAGTCGTTCGTTCCCTTACCCCTACGGAAACCAAATTGAGTATCTGAGAGTAGGTGGTTCGTCTCAACCCATTTGTCGAGGCAAAAAAGGATCATTTTTTCCAACAATTTTCGAATGCACGATAACATCGCGATGGGACGATACGAGTTATGATCTGACGCGGGTTTTCCAGGCTTTTTAATGGCTATAACTCTCACTCGCCTCCAATCATCTGGAACAATATTGAACTCCAGGAACTGACAAAACAAGTTCAACATGCGCCTCTTAGCGACGTCTGGGAGGTTCTTCAACAAGTCGAACTTGATCCTATCAGCCCCCGGAGCAGAATTGCGACACGAAAGGAGCGCGAGTGAGAGCTCCAGCATTGAAAAAGGCTGGCTGATCTCGTCTACCGAATTCG